GGCTGTTGGGCAGGAGGGAGCAGAGTCTGCACACACCCTTGGCTGGTCTACTGGCACCCCCTGCTGCCTGGGTCAGCAAACTTTGCTGTCCAGACCAGGTGAGGAATACTCCACCGTGGCCCACATGACTCCAACATCTTAATAAAGGGCTGATCACACTAGGGCCGCAGTGGGCAACAAGCCACACCACACAACCAAGGGATGTGTTTCTTGTCTGTCGAGACTTAAGTAGACTCCTGTCGTATGCTCTGCAATGGCTTCAAGGTCTTTTCTGGAATGCGCTCGGCCAGGGCTAAGCTAGGAAATACACATACTAGCATAAGCTTAGAAGGCTCCTGGACTTGAGGACACTGAATTCTTCACAGCAGGGCTTTAATAATTCTGGCCATCAGGGAAAGTACTTTGGCAGTGGGGTAGTATCCAGTTGTGTGGTTTAAATATCAGGAATCTTACATTTTTTAAATTCTGGCTATCACCTGTCCTGGTGCATGCCGTCTCCCAGCAACGGTGAACAATGTATGTGGAAGAGTCTCATTTCCTACATCTTCTAAACTTGGTTTCATGTGCAGTTGGTGGAGCTAAGCATTTCGAGGAGTCTGAATGCCAGAGTTGGCTGAGGGTCTGATGAGGTGCCCACCTGGCACACCTGGGGAACACAAGCATTGCGATCCTGGGGCCATGCTTCCAGAGAAAGATGCATTCAGATGGAAATGTGCTCAAGTCTTTGAGCACCTGAGTGTTAATGGAACCTCCAAGTCTGTTCACAGAGGCTCCTGTTATGCTACATGACCCCTAAGCTGTATTTCTACTGTTTTTCTTAACTTTAAATTTTATCAGGTTAGCACCTGCCTCTGATTTCAATCTGTATAGACATTTTTTGAATCCCATTTTTTGACATCAAATGTAGCAGCTCTCATTCCCTGCCTCGTGTTGTTTGCAAATTTGATCAATATCCTTAACCTAGGAACTAAAAATCAATTAAAGACCCTACAAATGCCATGAATCACAGAACTTCTATGAAACGGTCCGTTTGTCTCTAAGGCTGCAGGACCAAGCATCATCTAATTCTCAGGAAGCTAAAGGAGGAACCCCCAAAACAGCCAAGTCGTACATGACTCCGCAGATAGCCTGATGCCTCTACAAGTCCAGCAGGAATATGTCTAGGAAATTATGGAATACCTCCAAGGTTCCACAAAACCCAGCCTCTGCCCACCCCACCCTCCTGGCAGGGAGCTATGAGAGGTCCCTCTCCAGATGCACCCAGTCAAGTTACAGGTCTGGCTGGAATGGAAGGTGGCAGCAAGGGGAAGACACCAAAACTACACACAGTGAGAAAGAATTTGTTCTTCGTAAGGAAATCAGGGACTATTGGGAAACAGATGGATGGTGACAGCTAAAAACCTGACAAATGTCCCCAACATCCCAGCCCCTCACCCCAGACACACAGTTTCTCTCTACACCACCCTCTTCCAGAGAATTCACACACAGTGACATTCACTCACCTGTTTGTCTCTCTTCTAGAACACAAATCCCATAAGATTCAGGAACTTGCATGTCATTAAACATTAAATTGGAAAAGCTTATTACACAGCAGACACTCAATAACCATTTGCTGAATGAATGAATAGAGTCCACAGTGGCTTCTCACTAAAATGAAGATTATCAAATTGATCATATTTTTATCAGTTTAGTTAAAGATGCAAACCATCTCACTTTATATCAAATCTCTCTTAAAACGCTTTGGTATTTAGATTTCAGGTATATAATTGGGAGTTTATTTTCCATGATACACAAGGATTATTCAACCACCATTCAATATTAATTTTTCAGATATGTGAAGCTTGTCTACTCACATTCAGAGGTTTTCCTTAACTTGTCTTTATCTAAATCAGTCAAGTCTCTTCTCATAAATGAGAAATATTAAATAAATGGCTGCTTTCATAAAATAAAGAAGTGACTAGCAGAAATAATCTGCAACTTCTGTGAACAAGCTTTTCTTTAGTGTCTGAAATAATAAACGCCACTTACAGGCCATGGACTTTGTGCCATGAGTTTTACAGATCGGTCCCCAGCCCCCTATTCAGTGTATCCCAACGACAGGGCTGCTCAGGAAACCAAGGGAAAGCCTCTTGTCCAAGGTCCCTGCTAATGAGGAAGCAGGATCTGAACCCAGGTCTGGCTTACACCAAAGCTCAGGACTGTTTATTTTACTATTAAATCCATACCAACTACTCCACTACACCTTGTGTCTTCTCTGAATACCACAGTTCATCATATCGGAGATTCTGTCTATGGTGGGTGACATACAACTACATCATGAAGTACAGCACTGCCAATTACAGTGATAAGACACCATCAACTAGAAAGTACATCACAATTTCAGACATGTTAAAATGTGTATTTATAAACACACATTTACACACACATACACAGCTTAGATTCAACAAAATACAGTAATCCACTAACTTTGGAACAAATTATTCCTAATAAGTGTTATAAAATATAAATACTGGGCTTCTCTGGTGGAGCAGTGGTTAAGAATCCGCCTGCCAATGCAGGGGACACGGGTTCGATCCCTGGTCCGGGAAGATCCCACATGCCGCGGGGCAACTAAGCCCATGCGCCACAACTACTGAGCCTGTGCTCTAGAGCCCACGAGCCACAACTACTGAGCCTGCCTGCTGCAACTCCTGAAGCCCGCGCGCCTACAGCCTGTGCTCCACAACAAGAAAAGCCACCGCAATGAGAAGCCCACGCATCATAACAAAGAGTAGCCCCCGATCGCCACAACTAGAGAAAAGCCTGCATGCAGCAACGAAGACCCAACACAGCCAAAAATAAATAAATAACTTAATTAAATTTTAAAAAAAAATTTAAAAACTATATATATATATAAATACCTCTCTAAATCCTTTAGAAAATTAATTTTGACCTAGTACAGAAAAAAAAGAGATAAATCTCAAGTGTGAATAAAGTTACAGGAAATTGCAAACATTTGCAAATGCTTCTCTCTTTAAATTGTTTATTCTCATCTGTGGCATTAAAGCATGCTCTTTATAATGTGAAGAGCTGCTGACATCTCTCCCACCCATCAACATGACCATAGCTCATCCATATTTTCACACACCCAAGTGCATGAAAAGCAGTAAGCACATTTGTTTTGACACACCATGAAAGTGGCTTTAAATCTACCTGCCGTTCTCAACTTATATTTATTTTCTCCAAAAGTTAAGGGAAGCAATCATAATTTCTCATTCCATAACAAGGAAAAATATACTCTTTGCTGAAGACACAGCCTTAAGTCTCTATAAAATCAAAGACTCCCAACACTTCAGAAAACTCCCTGGATAAAGTTTATATTTGAATGACCAACTGGAAATGCACGGATCTTCAGGGCCTTTTCTTACTTCTCCTGAAAGAACTGGCATCGTAGGCCCACACGGTGTCTATGCCCTCCCCCGTGACCTGGGCTGGGGTCCAGTGTGGGAAGGGGAACCGGCAAGCAATGACTCTAGCCTCGTCCTCAAGTTCAAGCTCAAGCTTCTTCTCCAACTGCAGCATCTGTGGAGAACGACAGCCATCATTTCAGTGAGCGGATAGTCCGAGGAAATGACTTCTCAATGTCCTTTTGTATCTGCATCCCTGAAAAAAGCCTGTGCAGAATTACTGATTGTAAAAATGTCACTCCTAGGCATAAATACATCATCAAATAATCCATTAAAATACAGAAGTCACATGAACAACAGTTATAAGAATATTCTAGTATCAATTATAAAATTTGCCATTTATAGCAGATGTGTATCACAGAGTTCCACTCTCCTGACTAAAATCGTGATGTGGCAGTAATTAATGTGAGAAGCAGCCTTAAATTATTTACCTACCTAAACATTTCAATCTACCCTGTCTCAATTACTTATCTTTTTCCACATTTTTAACATGTCTGAAATCAGGATACATCTTACAATTGACATTGTCTTAGAATTATAATGGGCAACATTTTTTTTCTTTCCCAACAGCAATGGTACATCTTAATATCAACAGCACCTAAAATCAACAAAAAATGGTATAATTAGACCATGAAAAACTATACACATTCTACCAACTTGAAATATGATGAAATATTTCATAGTTTTTAAAAATGCATCCATAATACACTGATAATTTCTTGATAGTCAACATAACTTATAAAAAATAAAATCCTCTTATTTATCACTTTTGCATAATTTTATTACTAATCTATCTGTGAAGGAGGAGTTTTACTGCTTGCTAAGAGTACTGATATTGTAATTATGTCAGCAAATTAACAGCTGCTTAAAATTTTATCTTCAGGTCCTAAAATTATAGTACCACCTTCACCTCCTAAAAACATCTTTTCTACTTTATTCCTTTAATTTGTTATTTTGGAATAATTTCAAATTTATAGAAAAGTTGCAAGAATAGAGCAAAGAACTCCTGTATTCCTTTACCCAGGTTCACCAATTTTTAACAGTTTGTCTTATTGCTCTCTTCCCCTCTCTCTGCACATTTTTTCTAAACCACTTGAGAACAGGTCGTATACAACATGCCCCTTTACTCCTTGGTATTTTGGTGTTTTCTAAGAAAGAGACCCAGCACAATTATCAAATTCAGGAAATTTAACATTGTATTCCAGTAATAATAATTCCAATAGCATCCCAATTTTGTCAAATGTCCCAGTAATGTCCTTCACATTGTCCCACAGCCGAGCTCCCACACTGCATGGAGCTGTAATGGTTCCTCTGCCTCCGTTAGTCTCTCACGACAATAACCTCCTTTAAGAACACAGGCCAGAGCTTCCCTGGTGGCGCAGTGGTTGAGAGTCTGCCTGCCGATGCAGGGGACACGGGTTTGTGCCCCAGTCCGGGAAGATCCCACATACTGCGGAGCGGCTGGGCCTGTGAGCCATGGCCGCTGCGCCTGCGCGTCCGGAGCCTGTGCTCCACAATGGGAGAGGCCGCGATAGTGAGAGGCCTGCATACCGCAAAAAAAAAAAAAAAAACAAACCACAGGCCAGTTATTTACCGGGCGTCCCTCTGACACACGCTCATGATGACTTGGTGCGTGCCTCCTTGGCAACGCCCCACGAGCGGGGCTGTGGACTTCGCAGGGCTCCACGATCCCGAGCCCACGGGGTCCTCCTGCTTTGAGGGTGATGTACCACTCAGGCAAGGAGCTTTCTGGTGTCTCCACAGTGTGGTTACTACTGCTCCTTTGCAATGGGTAAGCAATTGCGGGGAGACGCCTTGAGAAGATGCAAATGTCCTGTTACTCATCCAGCTGCCCCCACTCGATGCAGCATTCCTGATGATTCTGCCTGAGTCAAATTTTACTGTAAGGATTGAAAGTGGCAATTTGCTAATTCCATCCTTCCTCCCAGATCGACAGTCAAAAACATCGAGGAATAGCTTTCCCCTCTGTCTCTCCATCACTGTTAAGTGTGAACTCCTGGATTCTCACTTCATTCTATGGGTTACAACCCACCATCGTTCTTGTTTATTCTAGCACACAAATTGTCCCAGCTTGGCCACTGGGAACTCCCTCAAGCTGGCTTCTCTCTCCTGTGGATGTGCCCCATCAAACATTCTGAACACCTCCTGCTATTTGGGCTCAACAAAATGTTCCAGGCTTTTGTATCTTCCCTTCCTCAGCCCTGGGATCAGCCATTTCTCAAACATTCCTGGTTCCTCTGAGTGAGAAATGATATTTAGAAACCAAGATATGAGCAAAACCTACTCCCTTTAAAAGTAACCAATTAAATCAAGATGAATGAATCAATAGGGCTTCTAGGAAGATTTTATTCCTCACTTATATATCTTTAAAGAAAGGTTTGGAAAAACTCCTCTACATGACCTATGGCTGCAGTGAGCCAGAATTCTGATTCTTCATTAGAATCAATACCAAGATAACAAAGAATGAATTCCATTAAGGATGGAATATTTCCATTCTTTTAACTGCTAGTAAAAGATTGCTTTTTTAAAAAATAAAAAAAGGGAAAAGTTTTCTTCCTTGAAGGAAAAAATTAAATAAGCAAAGAATAGGACAATATGTGTTTTTCCAAAATATCAGATGTTTCTTATGGTAATTTTGTTCACAGAAACGACAATTATAAATTTATTCACATTACCATTCTTCTTTTCTCTTTTACAGATCTTTTATTTCCAAATGACTGTCATACGCTAAGTCAAGATAAACGTACAAATGAAAGGCACTATTTCAATCATAAGAAATTAACTGACTAAATTACACATAAATACGCAACAAACCTGGGTCTTGATATCATACACAAAGAGAAGCCGTGATGTGCCATGTCCGCCTAATGAAATTCAAAATTATTCATACAATTACATGTTTCAGAGTGACACGAACTCATCGTATTCTAATTACATCTTCAAAACTTTAAACGTAAGTTGAAACCAGCTCAAAGGCGTAAGACACATTAGAGAAGTGCACCCGCAGCTCCAAGCCGCTTGGTCACTCCTCCCTGGAACGGGCTTCTCTTGGCTTCTGGAGTAACCCACACACACACCTGCCCTCCCCCCCCCCCCTCCCCTCCCCCTCCCCCTCCCCTCGAGTCCTTTGCTGGGGGTCAAGGCTCAGGCCTTACACGGCTCCGGCCCCTCCCCAGGTGACCTCAGCCACTCCTTGGCTTCAACTCCTGGCACTAATGTCCCACGAGCCCTCCCTCCCGCGCCCCAGACTCCTGGCGTCCACCACCGCCCACCTGACGTATCCACACGCGTCCCAGACTGCACAGGCCACGTGGAATTCCTGGTCTCCCCTCCCGCCCCTGCGCACTCTGCCTGCACCTTTCTGGGCTCAGCAAACTCTAGCAGCTCAGGCCAAACACCTTGGGGCGCCCTGGGCTCCTTCCTCCCTCGTGCCCCCAACTGAATCTGCCTGCTCACCCTGTTGGTTCTCTCCTCACGACGCATCCAGAATTGGACCACCTCTCACCAGCTGCTCCATCGATGGCCCCGGATGCCTGCCAGAGCTCAGACCCCGTCCCCTGGCTCCTCCCCATCTGCTCCCCATGGCAGCCTGTGTCCTTCCCGCCCAAGCCCTGTCTCTTCTCGGACCCCACCTCTCCCCTGCTCCCCTCCTCCCGCCCACCTCCCTGCTGCTCCTGGAACCTGCAGGCACACACCCCTCAGCACCTCTGCCTTCGCAGTGGCTGTTCCTCTGCCTGGACCGCTCTTCCCGACCACCCGGCCACACGGCTCCCCCCTCGCCTCTACGGGTCCCCTTTTCAGGACAGTCTCTGCCCCGTCCCTCTCTCGCTTCAGTTAGCCCCACGGCACTGACCCCCTTTTATCGTACGACACATTCTGTCAGTACACAGACATCTCACTGAATACCTGCTCTCCCCACTAGCATACAAATACCTTGGGGCGGGGATGTTTTTCTTTTTCATCCACTAAAGTATTCCAAGTGAGCAGAACAGGGTCTGCTGCTTAGTGGGCCCTGAATGAACACTTGTTGAATGAATGAATGAATGATAAACGATTCGCTCATGAATCATGTTTCTTGATCAGAACATGATGATAGTGTTTTCATTCATCAGGTCATAACAGGATTCCTAACTGAAAGTACAGGAGTCACATCCTCTGAAGTTACGAAACTTAACAGCTCACTGGAAGAGTGTACTTAATGGGTGTATTTATACGATATTCGTCCGTTCGTTTGACACACGTTTCCTGGGCCATCACTGGGCCGGGTGCTGCTGAGCTGGAAGTCTGGCAGCGAGGACGACAGGCCCGCCCTGCTCCTGAGCTCACAGTGCGCGGTGCCCATGGCCGACAGCACCAAAGCCATCGCACAAGGAAACGTGCGGCCATGTGTCCTCAGAGAGAGGAAAGGGCTCTGGGAGTCGGGGGTGTTGGGGCTTGTCTCACAGGGCGATCAGGGATGGCTCCTCGAAGGAAAAGACATCCGACCTGCGAGTGCTGAGCAGACGCTCCCTAACCAGGCCCAGAGCTGGGGGCACTGAAGTCGGAGGAAAGGACACACACAGCCCCACACAGTGCAGTTTAAGGGCCAAGAGAAGGATGGAGCTGGTGTGCAGAGGGCTGGCGGAAGCAGGACCACTCGGGCTATGTGGAGGGCGGGGCCTTACCCTCACTGCTTTCAGGTAGCAAGAAGTCACAGAAGGGTTTTCAACAAGGACACAACCGATCTGTCCCACATTCCAAAAAGACACTCTTGGGGCATGAGCTTGTGTTAAGTGCGGCTGTTTACCATCCGAGCACTGGCCTGCCAGGTCCACTGGCACCCTTACTCCTGCTACGCCAGACACACACCCAGGATCAAAGGTCAGGGCCGCTCTCATCTGAGCTACCACTGCACAGAGCTGCTAGGAAGCACCAGCCCAGTACCAGGAGCAGAGTGAGGATATGTAACACCAGGGTCCCCACCTCTGAAGCTCCCTAAGCATCCTCCGGCTTCTCGCGGCCTATGTGTGCTTCAGTTGCCATTGGAAGCCTTTCCTGCCATGCTGGCTTTGTCCGGCCACCGAGCCACTGCCAGGAAACTGGCCAGGGAAATGCATTCTATTAACAGAAAATGGCATGATGGGGCCCAGACGGGTTGAAGAACTTTCCAGCGCTCACACGACCTGCAGAGGGCCAACCCGGCCCCGTGAGTCCCCTGGGAGCACTCCCCTCCGCTCACTGCCTCCACGTAGGCAAAGCTTGACAAGGGGGAAAGCAGGGCCCTCCACCCGGAAACCGGGGCCCCCAGACCCGCAGAAGCCATCTGGGCCCTGCACCCCGATCGATCCCCCTGCATGGAAGACTCCCAGTTGGCTGAATCCCTCTTAACCCAGGGAAAGTGGGTGCTTCGTGTATTTCACCTGCTCCCTTTTTCTGGGAACAGTGAAATGCTGCAAGTTCCTTATTTAAGATTTCTCTGTGTACAGAAGAATGGACAATAATCGTAACAGTATTCATCAAAATTACACACTCTTATTTCCCTTGAGTGAACAGTTCCCAAAACTGACTACAAAAGTGGTTAGAAGCACAAGGAACTAGAGCCCAGCAAAGGCCACTGCTGCCCCCGACTGGGACACAGCTGCTGCAGCCACCCCGGGGCCTCTCAAGACAGCGAGGAATAAATATCAACTTTCTATTTTTAGAAAGTACAGATTTCAAATTAAAGTTATTTGCCCCAAAATGCTAATTATTCCAAAAGAATGCCCAAACTTCACAATAAGTAGGAAATAACCATCAAATTCCATAGCAATTCTATGATCCTAAATAGTTTTTTTTCTTTTCTTTTAATAACCAGGGATCATGCCTTTCTACCTCTTTTCATTTATATAACAGAAGTGTAGATGCGGAGGTTTCATCTTAATTTTAGGCTTGCTAAGAATTACGAACATATAAACTCCTGTCACTTTCAAAATTTTCTAACAAAAGCACTTCTAAATAGACTTTTTAAAGAAAATGGCATCGCACTGAAAGTCCTAATAGTAAGACAAAACTTCTCCAGCGTTGAGACATCTTAAACAAAAAATAAGGTATGAATAAGAAGGCTTAACAACAAAAAAAGTAAATTTCTTTTTTTTTTAAATTAAAAACCACATCAGTCATACAGTGGCATTTCAGCAAACATCCAATTTTACCAAGATTATTATGGCTACAATTATATACTTTGAAAAGTGAAGGGGGATTTCTTACTATGGTCTGTAAACCAACAATTACAATGAAAGCATCCCATTCTGGTCACCTTTCCAAAGGCTAAATTTAGGATCATTTTCAGTCTGATGCGGCAGCATTTTCACTTGTGAAAGTACAGAGTCAGAGTTCAATACAAATCAGTCAACTGAGGTCAGCTGAAACTAGTCAACGCTCATGCACCCTGAAAATCATCTCACTGCAAAATCCAAGGAATGATCAACTCCAAGGGAACATCCCCTTAACTTTCCCAAGTGATTTCAGCAGAATATAAGTGAGTGAACGTGAAAATATCCACCCGTATTAGACACCAGGAGCTCATAAAGCAGTTTTCAGACTGGAATTTTTAGGGCTTAGGTAGATCATTGAGACCTTTATCTAAAGCAAAAGTTTTAAACTACAAGACTGGATCTTTTATGATTAATCTTCTAGGGCCCTGAAGTACTTTGTTAAACCAATGATCTAAAATCCGATGTTCCCTCAGAATCTTGGGAGGCTGTCATTTTGCACATGGGGGAGCAGGCCTGAGATACGTGGTCTGTTCGGGCTGGAAGCCCCCTCATAACCTAGAACCAAACACGCAGGGGGCAGGAGAGTGCATACTCACCATCTGGGGCACGCCAAAGACAACAACATTTGAGTACTGCGAAAAAGTGACCTAAAGGGGAGGGAAAAAACAATTCACAGGTTAATTTTTGAAAGCCAAACATTAGCTTAAGTTTTATTTCAAAATGAGTAGCAGTTTCCCATTTCACCCAACAGTGGGTTTTCGCAAAGAGTGGTCCTTTTTAAGATTTCCCACATTCACACTCTCGCCCGCGTTAGTTCATCTGTGACAGTTCTCCAAAAGTTTCCCGTAAGTTATCTCATCTCATCTTCACAGCCACTCCATGCAGGGCCGCCCGGGGTCAACTGTCAGAAAGGCAGTGACTCATCCAGGGACCACTGGTACTCATCCAGGTAGCCCGGGCCGTCTGCACCCCTGGCCCACTTTCTACTCCACTCTCTACCAAACGAGCTTAGCAAGAGCTCAAGGGATTTCAGAACCACCTGTTTTTCCTGTTGAGCCATCCTTAGAATTCTAGACCCCCTCCTCTTCTCTAAAATACTAAGTAAAAAATGCAATGAAATGGTCTTTAGTTGGAAAACTGGGGGGAAAAGTGCTTCGCCAGTCAAAATTCTTAGTGCCCAATAAAAGTTTTATTTACTCTATGGAGAGATCATTTACGTATATACAGAATAAAACTCGAGTGAATTTTTATAAGCTACTGATGACAATATTACAATGGGAAATTGTTATTTAAGAAAGAGCATTTTATGGAGCATTCCTAAAGCAAAATTACAGGGCGCTTTTTAGAGAACAAGTAAACTTGGAAATATCTTGTGCTTTATGAAGACATGAAGGAACCATGACAGCATGGTTGGTGGATCCCTTCTTTTCTCCTGCACCATCTCTGTCTCTCTCTAGGTATGTATACACATACACACACACACTCACACACATACACACACTCACACACATACACTCACACACACATATACACACTCACACACATAAACCACATATACCACACATATACACACTCACACATATACAAACACACATGTACACTCACATAAATACACACATTCACAGACACACACAAACACTCACACACATACACAAACACACATACACACAAACACATACACACACATACACAAACACACATATACACACTCACACATAAACAGTCTCACACATATACACACACACATTCACACACACATACATATACACACAAATAAACACACTCACACACATACACACATACAAACACACACACACACCCCTACTATTTACCAAGAATGACATTAACAAGTTAATGCCTATATTACGATGCATAAGACTTCCAAAAGAGATCAAAATCTTATCACTGCATAATAAATAGAAATGAGAACTTTTTAAATTGAGTAAATAAAATGGTAGTATTCACATGACCTATAAGTTATAAACCTGAAGTTTCTACTCTAGTGTTGATTTGTAAAATGTATCAATTTAAAAGCTGTTCACATTTCATTATGCTGAAATATACACTTATATTTCTTCTTTTAATACATCTTCAGTTTTCAGTCATACTAATCATGAATTATAAAGTTTGGGGGTGGAGTTTCCGAGCACCATCCTCTGCCTTACTTACCTTCCACAAGTCTGAGATGTAAAATCTGGCCGATGCCTGCACCCCTTCCCGCCGAGCGCAGTATCTGGAGTACCAGACGAGCCAGGGGTTTAATTCATAACCCACAGCTGTGAATCCTTCCTTTGCAGCTGCTATTACCTGTGGGGAGAGGCCATGTTCAAAATAAGAAAAACATCAACTCACATAGTCAAATGATATGAAAACTTCCTACTTATGGTCTATAATCATAAAACATCCAATCAAAAGGTGTTTGTTCAAGACACCATTTAAAGGTGGGGCTCTGAAGTTACAATAGCTTTGTGGACAACGTAATGCCTGTCCATTTAAACTCAGTTTTCCTATTTTTCTGTCGAAGATTTCACCTTGAGCATCAGAACAGGCTTGCTTTGGACAGCTGCCTGATTCATTCTGGACTGGCCCACCCCAGGAAGGGCTGACAAAAAGTTTCTGAAAACCTGCCTTCTCCTTCCATCACTGACGGAACAGCAGCAGGCGAACTGAGCGTGCCTGGAGACTGTTTTGTGAACTAGCTGTAACATGCAATGCGAACAACCAGTCAGTGAGGAATCTGCAATTAATTACACATTTCCTTGGTATTTAAAGATGGTTCGCTCAAAATCGACAACGGGTAAAAACAAAATGGAACGAGTCAGGATAAAGTCAAGTGCCGAATGCCCCCGGCCTCCAAAGGTGAGAGGGACGGTGGGCTGGGCTGGGGTCTCTGCTCACCCTGTTTTGCCACCACTGTCCAAGGAAGCAGCCCTGAAGGAACTGTCCCATCTACGGCAATTTCCCAAGTAACTACAGTGTCGCCCCTTTGCCATTTTCTTAGAAACCAGAAAGAGACGATCCAGAGATGTAAAGCGTTCATATCTGGATTTTAAAATGTCCTCCTAGTTAACATATACATCCCCTGATTTCTTCAAAACAAGTCACTCTTGCTGATTATTCCAGGTCACTACCATGAAACTGCAGGGTCCACGTCTGCAGGGGCAGTGAAAGGTGCTGTACCCTGCTGGTTTCCACACTAAATGTTTCCAGAACACGAGCCTATGCTTCTGCTATCCTCACTTTGTGCTCATCATCCGGAGGGAGGCCTAAAGAGGGTGCCACCTTGCCCAGCGAGGGACACTGTTGGCCAGTCAGTGGCTTTAAGTCTTTATTTATAGGTTCCCAGCTGGGGTCACAATGAGCTGAAGTCACTGAAAGTCTGATTTTTGGATAAGTAGGGCTCAACACATTGGCTCTTCCTTATTTAACTCAATATTACCACACAGGAATTATGATACTTGTATAAATACAGGTAAATGTAGAAGCATTTATGATGCAAAAAATGTAAAACAAACTACATGACTTAACATGTTTCTTCTGGTTATGCCACCTCTACTGCCTAAGTTTTTTAATGGACAATTTCATAATTACAAATTAATTGTTCCTTTTTACCTGGCAGATCTACAGTGCACTTTCACCTTTAAGAAAAATTAAATCTGAGAAAAATAAATTCCAAAATCCCGCTGGAGGGCTTAGAAGTTCAGCCAAACAAACACAAAATTAAATGACTACTTTATTAGGCTGTCAATTTAGCAAGTCTTTGCATAAGCCTCACAAGAAATGTGAAACAGAAATTTTAAACCTTAAAACCTAAAAAAACATAAACCTTAAAACATCTTCGCATAACTCACGATACGTCCGTCGCCACTACCGACGTCTACCAGGGGTCCTCTCCTGCAGCGCAACATTTTCACAACATTTTCAATCTGCTTTGCAGTTGCAGGTACAAAAGGCAAACAGATTCTTCGGAAGGCTGGTGTTATAAACGGTGTGGCCACAGCATACACGACCACCAGCGTCCCCCCAACAATGCCAGTAAATAAGAACCCCCAATTGCTTTTCTTCAAACTGTTGCCCTCAAGACTTGTAGGTGGAACACATCCTGACTGCCTTTCTTCTTTAAGTGTTTCTGGGGGTGTCCCTGGATTGAGAGCAAGCAGAAAAGATATATGTAGCACCAAATCGGAAATCCAAGATAGTGGGGTTTTTTTACAATTCTTATTGACAAATAAACTCATGCTTTTTAAAGGATAATTTTGCTCAATACAATTTAAATTACAAATGTAGAATTCCACAATGAGTTCTAGAGTCCAGCAACTAAAGTGTTTTACAGAAAAGTATTCAATACTCATGGAAGACTAAAACCTTTTCTTTCCAACATATTGATTTTTTTTCTAGGCATCATCCTTAGAAAACAATGTGTTCCAATCTATTTGGTATTTTATGAATCAGTATCCATTAATTCAAATATTAACTATGTACTCCATATTTTTATGGTTCAGAACAAAGCCCCATAAAGAAATAAGCATGAAAATGTCTGATTATTACCCTATTTCAAATAGGATGAAAGTATTCTACATCAAAATTGGTCAGGCATCAATTATCCAGTTGTACAAATTCAATTCTGAAGTACAGAGGAGACAAAACTCAGGTTTTACTAAATATGGTAATAAGGAGATTTTTAAAGCAGAGCCACAAAGAACAAAAAATAAAATAAGCATTTCAATGTTATCACAAGTACAGAATAAAGCAAATTCTAGTCACTGATTACAGAGGAAACAAATGGTAACTTACATAACCTCCTCTTGAGTTTATCCTTTAGAACAGTATTCCTAATACGATCTCAAGTTTTTTAAGTTGAAATTGACTTGAAATTAATTTCTAAATGGATTAATGATGAGCACAGCACAAGAGCGAAGGGCTGCAGAGGCTGCCAAGGTCAGCACCCTGGCTCCACCCCTCACTAAGAGCTGTGACCCTTCACCTCTCCGAACCTCAGTCTCCTCCTCTGTAAGGTGAGGATCATGGGATCCTTGTGAGGATGAAACAAGCGGATACAGGAAGAGCACTCAGAACACCGCCGCCCAGCACCTGAACCCCACAGGGAACAAGCCCATCGCTGCCCTGAACCAGCTCTCGACCACGCTGAGGCACTAAGACCAAAACCACAGGAATCTGCAGGAAAAAGGAGAGTGAGAGGAGGGGCGACAACAGAGTCTTATCCATCGAAGGCATTAGTATTCATAGTTTTGGCGTTAGTAAGCCGTACAAAAGGCCCACTGGGTTAGTCTCCTGCTGCTGCTGCAAGAAATAACCACAGAGTTGGGGGGTTCGAACACCACGCAGGGCTGATGCGGATGATTTTAATTTTTGTGACTTCCTGTTTGAATTAAAAAAAAAAATCCCACAAGGACTCAGAGGCAAAAAACATATAAATCAATTTTCACTGCAAAGGGAAGGAGCTGTTACAGGGGAGGATTCCTGGACTGAATGTCAATATTATGACACAGTGTGAGTGTGTTTCGTGTTTGGTAATTGCAGTCATTGTTGCTTTTGTCGTGGTCATCCATTTACAATGCTTGGTGTCAGTCTATTTATCTCCTGTAAAAATAAAATACAGTGTGTGTGTGTGTGTGTGTGTGTGTGTGTGTGTGAAAAATAAATAAATAAAAACACGCATTTATTAACGTACAGTTCTGGAGGTCAGATGTCTGAAATAGGCTGGCTGTGTTCCTTCTGGAAGCTCTAGGGTAGGATGGGCCACCCGCATTCCTCGGCCACCGGTCCCACATCGCTCAACCTCTGCTTCCATCGCGACACCTCCTCTGACAGCCCTGCCCCCCTTTCCTTTATAGGAAAGGGATCCTCCCCTTGTGAGCATACTGGCCCCCCCAGACAAGCCAGGATAATTCCCCCACATCAAGGTCCTTAACTTAACCTCATCTGCCAAGTTGCTCCCCAGGTAAGCGGCCTCGCAGGGTCCAGGGATTCAAACATGGACCTATTTCCACCTACCATACCCATAAGATGTGGTAATCTGTCACAGCTGTGGTGAGGTCCAAATGTGAACACAGGACACACCAGAAGCTGGCCCACGGCTGTGAGTCACTGCTTGGGGGGGGTGGGGGGAGGAGCTGACCCACCTCAGCATCTTTGTTGCAGCTTTGTTGTTGCTGCCCGAGGTGCCCTGAAGCGAGTTTTACAACTAGTGTCAGGGAGGAAAACCAGTTCAGACACAACAACAGAAGTCTATTGCTGATGCAGGCGATGGAAGTAAAGTAAAAGTAAAGTTTAGGAAAGTGATCGTGTTTGATAGAAAGCAAGAGTTTTAAATACATTCTCATTTATACTTTTCAGCATTGTATGGAGGACTTACATGCTAATAGAAGTGCATTTGATTTTTTTTTTTTTTAAGTCAAGGCACATCTGTCATGCCTTGTGTAAAATCCTCCTGCAGGCATTCCAATTGTAGAGGACAGTGGTTAGGAAGATTCCAGCCACGCAACTCTGGAGTCTCAGAACTGAACAGGTTGTGTGGCACTAGTTAAGCTGTTGCTAAGGCTAATTTTTCTTGCCTGTAACATTCTAAAATAATACTATCCTTACAGAGTTATTGGGTCAGTTAAATAAACAATGCATATAAAGCCCTTAGCACAGCCCGAGAGAGAAAGTGATGACTACTGGCCACTATTATTATTACTCTCAATACTATCACGGGGGGGCTCAATCATTTTTAACAGCTTTATTGAGATGTAATTCATATATCATACCATTTGCCCATTTGATGTGTACAATTCAAAGGTTCTTAGTAGATTCAGATATGTGTAACCATCACCATAGTTAAATTCAGAACTTCTTCATTACTTCCGGAAGGAACCCCTTATGCTTTAGCCATCACCCCCCATCCTCCCCCCTGCCCCTCTGGCCCTAAGCAGCCACAAATCTGCCTTCTGTCTCTAAAGAAAGCAGACTTTCATGAGTGAAATCATACAGTATGTGGTTTTTGTGAGTGACTTTTCACCTAGCATAATGTTCTCAAGATTCATCCATGTTGTACTATGTATCAGCACTTTATTCCTTCTTTTGGCCAAATATTTAATATCCCACTGTATGGATAGCCCACATTTTGTTTATCCACTTGTCTGTTGATGGGCTGTTTCTCTAGTCAGCATAAGCCAATAGGGAGTTGATTAGACCAACACGAGTCAGATGACCCAAACGGTTTCACCTGTGTACACAGGGGCCCTTCAACTTAATCAGCAAAAGATGTGATGAACTCCTGGTCTTCAGGGCCCCCATTAGCCTGAGTGAGTGGTGGGGGCCCAGTGGAGACAGTTACAAGGCAGGTTGTGAGAGATGCTCTAACGTGTACCAAACGCCATGGGAATACGACAGGAGGTGGAGGAAAGACTGATCCCAATGATGGAACCGGGAAGGTGTCGGCAGAAACAGAATCTGAGCGGGGCGTGAGGGTACAGGTTTCCCCCACTGTCCAAAAGCAGAGTGTTTCCATGAAATCTTTCGTAAGCCAAACGGCTTAAAGCAAAAGAAATCTAGGTGAAGCACAGATGCTCCTAGACACAGTTCAGGGCTGTGGCGGCTGGATGCTGAGTGTGGTTTCTGGGGAAGGAGCCTGGCGGGGCTGCTCCCGCTGCCGGGGTGCACACTGCCTCCGGGACAGCTCCCTGCAAAACTAATTCAGCACGCTGTGTTCCCTTTTCCCCCTTTGTCATGAAAGCAAAAACCTTCTTTGGACTCCTTTCAGTTTGGGAAAACAGGGGCTAATGTAGGTTTTTCACGAAAGCAAAGTGGTGTCAAGTTCATTTTCAAAAAGCAAAGGATGCCTGTATTAGAAAAGGGACATTCTCAAAAGAAGGATGGACACCTTGGAACCAAGTCATGGAAGGTGGGGGAGCAGTTTGATGAGCACGAGGTGGGAGACAGGAAGGACGGGGGAGCCCTTTCACACCAGGTTAAACATGTACTTTATTCTTATGCACTGGGATGAAACTTTCTGTGCAAAAGCACTACAGTATTTGTGTTTTTTAGAAAGTCAACACTGGCAGCAGCGTATCCCTTGATGAAATCACTCAATCTTCTCTGTCAAGTTTTTAGACCTGCAAAAGTCTTTCAACGTCACAAAAACTTGCATGAGCTTTTGAAGAAGTTACTATGTAAATCCAATGTATATATCCAAAATATTGCTATGTCCGTTCTGTAAAAAAATGTACTGATTTTTATCAGTGAAAACCAATTCTTAAAGATTCAAAGCTAAAATCAAGACTGCTTCTACAAATGTCTAATCCTCTGGATGGAACATGTTAGATTCAGTCTTACTGTCATATAAATGACATAAGATTTCTGTCACATGTGCTCTTTTGAACATGGCAACATTCCTTTACATGAGAGCTGTGGGGACCATTGGCTATTTTTGAGCACTTGGAGGGAGCCAGTTGTTGAAAGTAAATGACCCAAAAAAGTGAACTTCTGTTGTCTCCAGCCTTGCCTACTGACTTCTGATAATGGTTGAAAATCTCTATTTTCAGTGACAGATTTGGGTCAGCCAAAGCTAGAGGCAGTGAGAGGCACAAAAAGATACAGGGTTCTTATCCAAGTTCAAGCCAAAGGAAAAAGGCCAGGAAGAAAGGCCAGGCCTTTTGGGGATTGGGACCTGCTGTTTGTTTAAAGTGGGGTTTATATTTGAACGTCACAATATTTTAGGGCTGTTCACCGTGTACTTGCATATACATACAGGCTGAAAAACTACAGCATATATTTTATGTCCCTTTAACGTATATTATTTTGTCCCTTAAGAAGCCTTTCTTGTACTGGTCTAACGTCATCTGTGTCTTTTTGAAATAGAGAATGTACTGACATTAGAAAAAAACTTTTTTTCCATGTTTTGACAGGAAATAAACTGCATAGGGGACATCATTAGACATTTCCTATACTTCAGGACAATCTAATGAACCAAATGGATTACAGGATTCATCACTGTGAATGAGGAAACACTGACTTGGCCAAGCCAAAGTGAATTGAGACCAGAGCCAAAATGTCCTCGGAGCATCACTGAAGTGAGCCAAGCAACAGGAGAGGTTAAATGCCCACCACCAAGCATCCACTGACAAAGCCAGTTCTTAACTTTCAGGCCACAGTTAAATGTTATAACCCACGCATTCATTTCAACATCTGAGCAGCCGATAAAGGCTAGGAATAATACAGCAGGGTAAGTCCCTATTCTACAGCAGCTAGAGTGCAGGGAGACTGGAAACCCATAACAAAGTCTAAGCCTAGAAACTATTACGTCGTGATCAGCACTCCGAAGAAAAAGCAGCAGAGGGGATTCAGAGGACCTGGTATTACTTAGATAGGGTTGCCAGGAAAAGATCTTTCAGAGGCAGCACAACGCAGGGCTTCAAAGTGGGACTCTTAGCGCAAGGCCAGGCCATTTTGCTTCTTAGTAGCTGGGTAACTCTGGGCAAGTTACTGGAGTATTCGTGCAAAACGGTGATCTCTTTAACAAATACAAACAAATCTCTTTAACAAACACATAATACAAACAAACAGAGCTTGCTAGGGACCAGGCACTGTTCTCCCTGAATCCGTAAAGCAGCCGTAAACAGAGATGCTACTGTTACTATTGCCATTTTTGCAGACAAGTCACTTCTCCAAAGACACAGCTAGTAAGTGGCAGAGCTGTGATCCCCACCCGGACAGTGTGACTCCAGTGCCCACATCTCAGAAGACCGTTCCGGATTAAGTGAGTTATTCGCTCTGAAGCGCTGAGAACAGTTCCTGGTGGCCAGATACCAGGACCGCCGCAGGCACAAGCACTGAGCACCGAACCCCAGACCTCGAGCCCGAGCAGCGGCCCCGCAGCTCCCAGTCCCGCCGCGCCGACACGGACCTGCTGCATTGCTGACATCCCGACTGACTGACCACCAGGCCCAAAAGGCCCACGCCGCGCCCGCACCCGCGCCCGGAACACACCACCACGCCCGGCCGCGCTCACCTCCTCCTTCCATCGCGAGATCTCCGGTAGTTTTAAAAACAGGAAGTGGACTCTACCATATTCTCGGAGCCGGGGTGGGAAAGAGGGAGAAAATAATGCTCTAAGTAAATGAGCTCCTCGTTGGGAACCACTGTCAAGAAATAGTCAATTTTATAGATTTAATAAATGTTGAACTTCCATCTACTTCTGGCTTGTGGGTTCTCAAGTTCCCGTCCGTGTCTCCCAACTTCCCCCCACAGCTTCCTGGATGATAGAAGTTTCCGAAGGCCGCTGATTCCAGAAGGTACTGTCCGGCGTTAAACTAGTCTCTAGTAAGAAATAAGTCTCAGCGGCCTATACTGCGCATGCGCGAGCTTTTGCGCCCGCCCGCGAGAGCAGAGTGTGTTCTTGCTTCCGCGGTAGTTTCCGCCGGTTGCGGGAGAGTAACTGCAGTGGCTGCATCATGGCGTCTGTGGGGACCCTAGCCTTCGATGAGTATGGCCGCCCTTTCCTCATCATCAAGGATCAGGACCGCAAGTCTCGTCTTATGGGACTTGAGGCCCTCAAGGTAACGGGACGGGGACGCACTGGCGGTGGGATGAGAGGACGCGGCCGAAGCCAGTGGCTCTGCGCCTGCGCCTCTTCACAGTGGTTCTGCCACGTGCTCCCGGGGAAGGTTCGAGGGAGCCCCTCTGGTCTCCAGTCCTGCGGTCCACGCCTTGGGCCCGGGAAAGGCCAACGTATAAGCCCTAGTCCCATTTGGGGGTTAAAGAGGCCCGCAGGCGCCCTTCAGAGTTGGGTGGGGTGGCTTGAATTCACAGGCGTTGAAGGCGCGTCCCCGCTGGTTTCTCCAGCCTGCAGTCCTTCCGAGCAGCGTTTTCAGCAGTAAGATGCAGCGGAGGTATTCTCAGGTCACCTGGCCGGTTAGGACTCTGATTCTTAGCCTTCAGGCGGTGTCCCTACAACAGCCCCAAAGGAAATGAGTTTCATTTTCTTTGTCGCTTTCTAAAGGTTTAGTCATTTACAGCGCATTTCATTTTTGAGTCCGTTTATGCATGACGTATTCCTGGACGTGGGGTCGTAAAAATTTAAAAACGAGCTACAGGAGTGAAAAGTTGTCACCAATAACCATAGTACTGCAGGAGTGAAAAGTTGTCACCAGTAACCATAATACAAGATTGTGTGCGACCAAAATCACCAGATTTGGGAGGGGTGGCAGGTAAAAGTTGGAGGGTGTCCTTCAGGCGTTGGAGAGAGGATTGATTGGCTTTTGATCAGGGATGGAGTTATGTTTTGAACGGGAAAGAGCTAGCTTCCAGGAACAGGAAACAGCGAACGCAAGGACCGGGGCAGGAGAACGCATGGCATCTTGTAGAAGACAGCACTTCGGTTTTAACAGCACAGTCTACTTAAGTTACAGTGGCTCCGAAAAGTGGAAGTTCTTGCATGCCCCGCAATCGAGATGTTATCCTGAGGGATGGGAGGGGAGCCATTGAAGGGGATTTGAACAGAATCACAATTTAAGTAGAACTAAACTTGGGGAGGTAGCATTTAGGATGGAATCCATGACGTTGCTGTGTATGGACCGTGTCACCAGGTCAGAGGTGTCCCTGTTTGCTTAGTTTCTTGGGGTTTTACTAAATTAAGCAGTACACTTCTACTCCGGGCTGTTTGTTTGACTTAGGACAAGTTACACAACCCAGTGGGGGCAATACACCCCCATCGAGCTGAGGACCAGAGTTAAACAGGGTAACGTAAGGAGTGGCCGCCCAGTCTTGGTATGTGGTAGATGCTCACACGACTTGTGTTACGCATTCAATTCCATTTTTCACTTCAGAGAAAGTAACAGCCAAATACATGCACCCAAAATACCAGTATAACAGAAGGTCCAGGTTATTTTGGACCTGCCACATCTCACGTAGTTCTCGCACTCTGAGACAGGTACTATTTTATGGAATAGGAAACTTGACCCCAGAGCAGTTAAGGGATTGCTTGAGGTCCCAGAGCTAGTAAAGAACAGGGTCACGGTTCAGGCCCACCTCTGTGTGACTCCGCAGCCAGTGGTCTAAAGCCCCACTTCTCAGCCTCGGCGCTGTTGATATTTGGGGCTGAATCCTTCTCCGTTGTGGCGTCTGTCCTGTTCAGGATGTTTACGCCTCTACCCACTGTGGTCTCCTCCCTGACTGTGGCAACCAGAGGTGTCTCCGGGCATTGCCAAATATCTCCTGGCGGGCAGTATCACCCCTGGTTAAGAATATGTATGCCACGCCCCTGTGGTTATTGGCCTATAAAAATTCCGTTGTGCAGACCTATCAGTCAGGGTGTATTTTGAGGATTACCAGTATTTTCACAAACCTGGTGAACTTTGTGTGTTTTGTTACCTGTTAGATGGGGTGACAGGGGTAGGCTTCACGGCATGTGTGCGCTTGAACTGCTTGGAGACTTGGTCAGGATTTTGACGGGCGGAGGGTTTTCTGTGCATCGGTGCTTCAGCGACTAGAGGACCTGTTGGGTCGCAGGCACAGGCTGTCCTCACTGGAAGGGGGTGGGGTCTCAGACTGTGGAGGGCTTTGAAGAGCAGCTGGAGCTTTCAGACGTGAGAGTTGAGGTGCTGGGGAGTCATTTAAGGGCTGGGGACTGGAAAGTAACATGTTTGAGAGAAATGGATAGCTTAGCTGGATGGAGGATGAATCCGAAGGATCGGTGGTGAGGTAAGAGACCAGGAAATCTGTAAGGTGCGATGGATCAGGGTTAGGTCGGTGACGGCAGGAATAGGAAGACAGGGAACCAGACAAATGAGTGTAATCGTGTGGAAGGAGGAAAGGATGCATTCAGGCTGCTGTTATTTTCAGCATTGACCGCCTTGTGGGTTGTGTACTGGCTGGACCACCTGAGAGAGGAGTGTGCAGTAAACCGTAGTGCGACAGTTCAAGGTGCTGTGTGTCGACGGCCAGACTCTTCACATGACGTTAGCATTGCACAGTGCTCTTGCAAGGCGTGTCAGGTCAGACTGTCTATGCTCTGGGCTGTAAAATGGGCCCGTAGAACCTGCCTCATAGATGTGTTGAGGATTAAAGAGAGAACACAGAGCACTTAGTTCTGTTCTTTTACATAAGAATTGTCTTCTCACACTAGCAGTTGGGAAGTGGTCACCGTTAGATGTGGACCTGTCTGCTGCTACTTCTAGAGAATGGAAAATATGTCATAAGTGATTTTTATAACCATCAGCTCTATGTTCTTAACTCTTAAAATTATATGTAACTTGAATATTGGCTTTTTCTGTTTCATTTAGTCTCATATAATGGCAGCAAAAGCTGTAGCAAATACAATGAAAACATCACTTGGACCAAATGGTAAGAGACTAACATTCTCTGTTTTTTAACAAAAGTCATAAATCATAAATAGTCAATACGGTATCTTTGCCGAAAGTTAGGAAATGAAGGGAAGCATCCTCTCCCCTAATGTGGCCAAACGTTTTTGGTGTATTCCAGACCTTAAACACGGTTACAGTCATAATGTGCATACAATTTTAGATTAGGTGTTTTATCCACTTAACATAATTACCATTAGCATTTTCTAAATCATAGCTGTTGTCTTTTGTGACATTATATTTTGTGATGACTGTTACTTTTTTTGTCATTTCTCTAGTTTTGGCCATTTTAAATTGTTTCCAGTGTTTTGCTTTAGATTAGCCAATCTAGAAAGGTCTCCATGGAGATATTCCTTTATGTATGTTGAATTATTTATTTATAATAAATTCCTAGATAGGAACTGGGTCAAGAGGTCAAAGCCATTTTAAACATTGGTGTCTTTTAGGGCTCGATAAGATGATGGTGGATAAGGATGGCGACGTGACCGTAACTAATGACGGTGCCACCATCTTAAGCATGATGGATGTCGATCATCAGATCGCCAAGCTGATGGTCGAACTGTCCAAATCACAGGATGATGAAATTGGAGACGGAACCACAGGAGTGGTTGGTAAGAAAAGGCAAAATGTCCTTTCTCATTTAAGAGGTGTTATTTAATATTACAGGCCTAACACGCCTGCTGAGAATGTTTATTCTGAATTAAATCATGAGGAGGCAGTCGGACAAATCCAAATGGACACGATACAAGACAAGTGGCCCAGACTCTTCAAAACTGTCACTGTTATAAAAGAACAAGAAAGGGGTGGGGAGTAGAGTTAGGCAATTATTCTAGATTAAAGGAGCTAAAGAGAAATGACAGCCAGCTTTAATGTGTAAAACTTGGTTGGATGCCTGGTTTGTTTGTTTTTCCTAGCTGTGAAGAATGTTCGGGACATATGGGGTCATTTGTGAGTCATGTATTAGAGTAGTATCTTATCGATGTTAAGGTTCCTGCGTATGACAGTCGTGTTACAGAGATGCAGGAGAATGCCCTTTTCCTTAGGAGCTGTGTTGAAGTATTTAGGGGTTACATGGAGCTGTGTTGAAGTATTTAGGGGTTACATGTCTGATTTCTGCAACTAATTTTCACATAGTTGAAAAGAAAAGGCACACATCTGTAGAGAAAACAAATGCGGCAAAATGTTATTAATGAGTAAACTAGTGTTCATTTTACTGTCATGAAATTTTTTCTGAAGGTTTGAATTTTTTAAAAGTTTGGGAGGATTGATAAGATGAATATCTTTAATGTTACTTTTTCTGTATCTGAAATTTGAATTAATTTATTCAGCAAATATTTCAAATATTCATTGGGTACCAAGCACTGTTCTGGATGTGCTTGGAATACAGCAGCATTAAAACAAACTCCTCATCGTTGTGATGCTGAAATGAGAGGGAAAGGCAAGGTTGGGGGGAGGGTAATAAAGAAATTTTATAATCCTTTTATCGCCAACATATATGTCCCTGAACAG